CAGCCATTTTGTTTGTACGTTACATGTGCCACGTGACGTCAACATTTCTTAAAGAATTCTTCATCTTGTAACAAATTATTATTGTTATTATTATTTATTTAAACTGGAAATGGGTTTTTACCCGATAGCAGTGGTATTGCAATAAGACACAACGTACAAATAACACACAAAATAACACACCACACTCAAACAAAACACAGCACACAAACAAGAAAGACACCACACACAATGAATACGATTCACATACAATCAAAACTACAACAAATACAATTGCAACTATAATTAAATAAATTAATATTAATAAAAAATGAGTATACTGTACATGAAACAGTAACAATAATGAATACGTAATGCCATGAACTGATGCGCTCACATTTCACCATGACTTACCTTCATTCCACTTTACTACACTTACGTACCCTTCACATCCTCACAATTCACTTCACTTCGAATAGGTCTGTTCCCTTATACACGAAACAAATTATGTAAAGTTGTAGCTTGAGATATTTGCTGCAAGCTAGTGAATATTGGGCAATTAGGTGAAGAATAAGGTAAAGGTAAATTTCTCCCTGTGCTAATCGAATTTTAGTATTACACCATGAAGGCATATTAGAGTTTGGATGTATAGATTGTGTATCTATACGTCCAGTTAGGTGAAGAAACATGAACAAAATGCAGTCAGTGGAGATGAGGTACTGTACAATAGACATAGAGCCTGAGATTTAAAATTCTCACTGCAGTAACTATGAAGATCGTAGTCTCCACCACATTCCTTCGAAACGTCGGTAAAATATTAGGCTGCACGGCGTCACACCGCAGAAGGTAGTAATATTCAGTTGAAAGCAGCACCAAATCAGACAACATTAAGAAAATAGATATTAAGAACTAAAAATATGGTGGGTGTACAATAAAGTAGATGAACACAGTTAAAGACTGGATAAATCATTTGGATAAAATGGTTGATTGAAGCATAATGAAACAGATCCTGCAGAATAAACGAAAAGGAAGTCGAGATCGACGAAGACTTCGTTAAAAATTTAATGAAAATGTGAATTTGGAATAAACTCTATTTCCTATGTCATGACGCGAAGATAAATAAAAAGAAATGATGATCATTTTAGAGCTTGAAGACAGTTGCTATAATATATCGGTTGCAAGCAATTCAGGTAAATCCCTGTAACTTCTGTTTTTTCCGACATTGTAAAGTAGAAACTGCTTGAAAACAAAATAATATATACAATTGGATCTAAAAATTTGCTGAAGTAATTAACTCCATGGAGGAAGAACCTCCTAGCAAAGTGACAACCGCTCAGCTGGTTAATAAATTACGTACCTTTTATGGGACCCCAAGGTTTACCGTACCCATAAGGCCTTAACGGCCGTGGGGATTCGTTGCGCACACCACGCAATACACTCTATCCGCTAAAGTTGGCACTAACTTCGCCGACAAGCCACGGTCACTCAGTCGGTATAGTTCGCTTGCGGACTACAGGCCACGGAGTTTGTTTTGTTTGTTTTTATAAGACCTGGTCTCTTGTCCACGTGTTCATAGTCATCTTCAGGCGGGAGTGAAATACTTCGTTTCGTTTGGCGCTGCAGTGTCGGTCTTTGTTGAAAACAAATTCTGCAGTTCAGTGCCACACATGCCTATGCTTCCGCCGGAATTGCAGTCTCGAGCTTCACCGAAAACAAAATTTCCGTTTATGATAGCGTATGGTGAGTAAATGGAGAGGTTATCCTTGTAAATTGTGGCAGCAGATGCGAATTACTGGTAGAAGCTTTGCACTCTTCCTAAGTTTCAGATAATTCACAGTAACGTTTGGCTGTATTACTGTGAAGTTCTGTTGCCAGTTGAAGACAAACGGAAGTTACAATAAATTGTCTCTGTGCTTATCTAATTAAGCACCACGACATGAAGGCATATGGGGAAGTGGGCTCTGCACTAGTTGGGAGTTCAGTGGTCAGCTTCACGTCCTGACCGTTTTACCCCCAGGTAAAGATCCCCCGGTATCCATTGAAGAGGAGGCTGGGTGGGCTCCAGAACAGGTCTTGACGACGCGAACAAAAGGGAAATCTTGACTCTACTGGGACTCAAACTCCGACCCCTCAGTAGTCCAGCCCGTAGCTATACCGACTGTGCTATCCAGGCTTCTAAACGCAGGTTATTTTTAAATTTATTTATAGAGAGATTTATTCTGTTTCTAAGAAAAAGTTGCCCGCAAAATTTTGTACAGATAGGAGCAGTGTAATGTTGTTCTCTCAAGCTTTGTTACCCTGGTGTGAATTTAAATCTCTTTCAGATATTTTCAAGTTATTATGGTTACATGTTTTTAATAAATTTTATTTTTAACAAGATTTCTATCTACTGGGATACGACGCCGTGTACTACATTGAATATCAACCGACGTTTCGGAGGGACATAGCGACATGCTCCTCCGTAAATTCCATTCAATTTCCACGGAGTACACTGCGTCGTATCCCGGAAGATAGTGCTCTTCATAACCACTGTTGTGAGAACCTCAGGTTCTGCATTTATTTTTAGCAGTTTTCCGTCGAAATTTCAGCGACGTTTATACTAATATGTAAAATGAAACTTTGCATAAATAGATCCCGTACCTGACGCACTGTTTCTATAGTCATGACGGGCACAGTATATGCAGAGGAAACTAGTAACATTAATCACAACGTAATCCGTCATCACATACAAATGTACAGGAGACCTATAAATCATGTACTGATGTATTAACGTCATTATTCATGTTGCGATGTAATCATGATAGTAATATATAGTGGCCGCTAGGGTGAGGTTAATTTTTAACAGAACGGCATTTTAATTAGATGTAATAGAAGAAACATTACGCTACAAGCCTTAAGGTTGAAGGTTTGATTCCTGATGAAGTCACTGGATTTTTAAGTTGAACTAATCCTTCCAGCAGCACTATGACCCTGGAGTCGACTCAGCCTTTAACAAAAATGAATACCAGAAAATTTTATGGGGGGTAAAGAGCGGCCACCTGACAACCTCACCGCCATCTGTGAGCCGACTGTCTAGAAAAAATGTGGGAGCCTCTACGTCTCACATCATTATAGGCTTTCACGTCGTCTTACAGGGATAGATTTACTTTTTTTTTTTAATTCGCATAGTGGGGGGTGGAGTCCAACTGGGTCCACGCGGCACGGCGGCCACTGATTGGCCTATTGTAGCCTGCCCCGGGTTATTATGATGATGGAGAATTTGGTGGAATGAAGATTGGCAGGGGAAACCGAAGTATTCGGAGAAAACTCGCCACAGCGCCACTTTGTCCACTACAAATCCCACTTGACTAGACCCGGGATTGAACCCGGGCCGCCGCGGTGGGAAGCCAGCGACTAACCGCTTGAGCTATGGTGCGGCCTAGATTTACCTTACTTTTAAGAGAAGAGGACCTAAATTTGAAGTCAGTTCGTTGTTTCATCCGGTACCGGGATATTTTATAGCGGCCAGGTTAAAGGCTGGATGAGAGATCGCTGGTAGGAGAGGGATATTTTTCTCTTCTCCAAACCTCGAATTTCGGATGAAATATCGACTGTCGTTACTGAAAATATTCATGGTTTTTCTCAACTTCCTCAAGTAAATACCAGGATATTAAGTCGATTAGACCACAACCACGTCCTTGCGAATCTTTCAGCTCATTAATCACATATCATCCAAAGGTTCGAAACCATATTCTCTGAGATACAGACAGCGTCGTACAATAAACCACTTCAGAATGTATCGTAACCAGCCCTGGGGCCCACCTGGCCCTCTATCCCGCCCATAGATCATTTTCAGAGGGTAAAAGGGCCGAGACATAAAGTTAACCACACCCCTCAATCCAGTGTCGACGTTAAGAATGTATGGTTCTATACCTTTACTCCTCCATACCAAATCCCTGGTATATCTTCACGTTATGGTACTTAATTAAGCCCAATGACAACTTTACTTTTACACCCATTTCTTCTTCCCACTCTGGAAGAAGTGTGTTACCACGCATCCCTTTCCCGGGGGAGGGTGAATAACAACCACCTGTGCTGTTGTTCCGTTTGATCTTCCTTCTCACGATAGGCAAACCGCTTTAAGGGAACGCTGTGTCCTTTTGCCGCATCTGTTCTCCTTATCATTCTACTTTATTACCTTTATATTCTTCATCTCCATTTTCAGGGGCCAAGGATAAGTCAAGCAAGAGAACAGCTCGAAGCCGGCAGCATCCAGAGTTCATCCTTCAACTCTGAAAATGAAGGCAACATTTCCTCCGAAGCTTCTGTTGACTTTCAGAGGAGTGCATGGCGTTATACCCCAGAAGGTAGGACAAATTCAGACGTTTAACGGAGAGGAAGTGTTACGTTTTTCCCGGTACAAATATCGTGTTTCTGGACATATCCATCGTCCTGTCTATTGTCTAAAAACCGAGCTGTTTCTTGTTTCGGAGACTACTCAGTTGGGCCCAATAGATAGAGCTAGCCCCTATACTATCGTCACAAACTTTTAGATCGCATTTTCCCGGACTTCTAATTTTTAATTTTTATTAATCGGTTCTGTCATTTCGTTTGCGACAATGGAAAGTAATAACTTGCGATTTAAATTTGAAATGCTGCCAAGCTTTTCCTTTGTCAGTAATTACCAAATTCCTGCATTAGTAACTTGTAAATCGTGGATGAAATTCCGAATGGCTCTGACGCTGCGATTACCGGGGTTTTGACCTGTATCATTACTTCGCTTCCATTTTCCTTTGTTTAATCCAATTTTGAGTCGCCTCTTGTTAAATTACAAATCCACAATTTTCTTGAGATTACTGTGTTTTGGGACTATGTCCATCGTCCGACATTACAAAGAAAACAGTAGTTGTAGTGATGTAGTTTGCTCAGTGACTGAGGTCAGCTCTTTCTAACGTACCCAACAGAGTAGATGTCTCCAACCCAGTCACCAGAGGATGGAAACAGATCCAGTTTCCGAAACGCTGTGTTCTTTAGAATACCGGACGATGGACAAGTCTAAAAACCCCGTAATTCGATTCAAATTGAGGATTCTGATTTAACAAAAAGCTACTCAAAACTAGATTAAACACAAAACAGAAACAAGGTAATGACAGTAGCCTGGCCGTAACAGAAAACACAGATTCCACTCTTGTTACTGGCAGCGACTGCTAACTGAGTTTCACTTTAACTCAGTTGTATAACTCAGGGTTACCGCTCTTCTTCTTAGGATCTTGAGCTGCTCTCCGTTATTTTGGAGAATGTAACCTCTTTCATACGAGTACTAAAGACATCTATTAGCGGGGTTCTGTTCCCGGCAGGAGTAGGAATTTTCTCTTTACCGTTGCTCCTATATCTAAGCCTGTACTTGTGGCCACCCACCCTCCTATTTAACAAGTGCATGGGGATCTGTCAGTCGTGTTAAGGCCACCGGATTATAGAACTGACAATTCGGTTCCCATCTGATTATTCTGATGAGAAAAATCGTGTTTAAATTCATAACATTGTTAATAATATCTTATGATTTGTTCACAAAGTATATTCAATAAGTGCGAATAATTTACAGTTATTAAAAGAAGTTTGAACTACAGAATTCTTCTCCAGAGGTTAACATTAGATTCCTATATCCAAGAAAATGTACCATTAGCTCACATCCTTTAAATATCATAAAGTTAATGACATTAGATAAAATAATTCCTTATTGAAAAAGCCAAAGGAAACTTCTAAACATACCTTATGGACTAAACAACTACTTTTAAACCTAAAAATACCTGAAGAGAAACCACTTGGAAGACCTAAGTGTAAATGTTAAGATANACGCACCAGTATCGGCAGGGTATGGCGACAGTAGAAATTAAAGGGGGACGCACAGTGGACCAATAACTGGTCCAAGTGCATGGGGAAACCCACCCCCTCTAATAATAATAATAATAATAATAATAGTACCGGAATCTAGCAAGCACAAAAGTGAACCGTCGCATTCCACAGAACGTAAAAAAAAAAAAACTTGGCGAGCTTAGCGACTAGTAAGTTTCTTAAGAATGTTTCTGTTGTGTGAAGTGAGTCACTTAGCTTGTTTCGATCGTTAATGTTGGTGGGACGCACACAGTTGTCACTAAGCTACGCAGAGTTAAGCACCGACACATGTTTACTATGTAAATTCCAGCGTCCATTTAGCAATGCAGACAGGCGCTACCTGATCTGATATGTGAGTATAGGGACCGCAGTTAGAAAGTTTAATGTTGCGTGAACAATTGGCACAAAAACTAGTCAAGGTTATTCTTAAGATTCTGTAGTAATCAGTCCCGCAGAGAGATTGCATCAGAGCTGTCTCCAGGGGTACAACCACTATCATAAATTTAAACGTCGTTTTCTTTCTTAAGCTACTATTCGCCTCACCTGCATAACTAATTATTAATCGTCAACCCCATTTCCTGTAGAATTATTTAAGCCGGTTCTGGATTTAATTTTGTGTAGTCATACAACAGCTCTTTTCACTTCCTGTATGATGCTGATGTACCAACCATAGGGGACTTTCTGTCACATGATATTGTAGCGTGTGGACCCGTTACTATGTAACGACCGCAACGAGTCCATGTGTAACAACAGAGGAACTGCCGGAAATGGTGTTTTCTACGCCGTTCGTTTCGAGATGTTAAAAAGCATAGGCAGGTTTAGTTAAGTCAGTTTGTGAGTAGAGTAGGAAGTTAGTGTGAGATGGCCGCCCTCCTGGGAGTTAGTTAATTGAAGCAATGATTCAGTTGTGAGATATTCACCGGACAGTAACGACGTGAGCACAGAAGCTGGAGAATCTCCATTCATAGTATCCGTTACCGGGAAACGAAGAGTGAAAGACTGAGAAGGCTTAGCATGTGCTGCAGTGATTTGTAAAGTGTGAAGATTATAACGTGCACTCTTCTCTAAGTATAATTAGAACGATCAAGTCAAGGAGGATGAGGTCGGCAGGCATGTAGCACGAATGGAGGATACAATGAATGCATATAGGATATTGGTGGGAAAGCCAGAAGGAGAGGGACCACTGGGAAGACCAACAAGTAGATGTGTGGACAATATTAAAATGGATCTTAGAGAGATAAGATGGGATGGTATGGACTGGATTGATCTGACTCAGGATAGGGACCAGTGGAGGGCTCCTGTGAACACGGTATTAAACCTTTAGGTTCCATAAAATGCTGGGAAATTCTTGAGTAGCTGCAGATTTGGCTTCTCCTCAAGAAGGGCTCAGGTCCGTAAGTAAGTAAGTAAGTATTCTTTTCNACTAAGTTCCTTGTACTGCGGCCACTTCTGGCCTATTGTACCAGCCCCAGATGATAGGTGAGGTGATTGTGGAGCAATTGGTGGAATGAAGATTGGCAGGGGAAACCGAAGTACTCGAAGAAATCCTGCACCAGCGCCACTTTGTCCACCTCAAATCCCACTTGACCAGACCCGGGATCGAACCCGGGCCGACGCGTTGGGAAGCCAGCGACTAACCGCTTGAGCTATGGCACGGCCTTAGTAAGTAAGTAAGTAAGTAAGTACACAGCGTTATAATGACTTGAAGTTATGGTCTGTAAGTCGTCAATAAATCCAATGTCCAGTCCAAACCCCGTCTGTAGTCTCTCATTCAGGGGCAGTGTGTAGCTGTATAATAAATGGCTAATGACAGTGTCTGAAGCCACAGTCTCGAGGGTCTCGAGGGCTATAATCGCCGTAATCACGGTTATGTGTTTAATTCAGAACGTAGTAAGAGTTAATGGGAGAACCTGTGTCGTAAGAGAGCAAATTGAGGATTATATACCCTCAAGGCAGGAGGTCAGGCACCCATAACAAGGCACACCGGAGAACGTCTGTCATAGGAGAGTGAATCAGAAATTATATGCCCGCAAGGCAGGAGATCAGGCACCCATAGAAGTGCAAATCGGATATGTGATATTATACTGACCGGTCATAGTGTTCATCCTTGGTTATTATGTACGTATGTCACTCACTCATGGAGCTGAGCCCTTCTTGAGAAGCCGCCAATTGCGTAGCAACTCAAGAATTTCCCAGCATTTTATGGAACCCGAAGGTTCGTTACTGTGTTCAAAAGAGCCCTCCACTGGACCCTATCCTGAGCCAGATCAATTTGATCCATATCATCCCATCCTATCTCTCTTAAATCCATTTTAATATTGTCCACACACCTATTTGTTGGTCTTCCCATTGGTCTCTTTCCTTCTGGCTTTCCCACCAATATCCTATATGCCTTACTCTTCTCCCCATTCTTGCTACATGCCCTGCCCATCTCGTCCTCCTTCACTTGATCACACTAATTCTACTTGGAGAAGAGTACAAGTTATGAAGCTCCTCATTATGCAGTTTTCTCCAACCTCCTATCACTTCATCCCTCTTCGGTCCAAATATTCTCCTCAACACCCTGTTCTCAAACACCCTCAGTGCACACGTATTAAAGATAAGCAGCGGCACGCACACAGGGAGCCTACACAGAATAATACCTGAACAATGCTGAAAACAAGAAGTAGCCGCTGCAGCACTATGATAATCACGTTTGACGTAAGTTAAAACATTTTCCTTGTGTACGGCCCACTGAAATGGTCTCAAGAGAAGTAATGTTATATTTTAGCGTCCTGTTGCACTGATTTAAGTCCATGATTTATTTAAACCGTCT